CAACAGTCAGATCATTACTTTGCAAAGAATTGTTGTTTGCAGGCCATGATATTAATTGGAAATGACACACTGAAGGCTCTGAGAACTACAGAAGACTCCCTTGCCTGCCAGCGTAATTATGGTCATTCCTTTACCAAGTTAGGCTTTTACTGCTACAGTTACAGTTCTGTTTAAACAATGTCAATCTTGACACACACAAAATAGTTAACACTTAAAAGAACTTTAAATCATAAAATATGACCTCTCTCTCTCTCTCTCTCTCTCTCTCTCTCTATATCTCTCTCTCTCTCTCTCTCTCTCTGTATCAGGGATTGAACTCAGGACCTTGCGCTTGCTAGGCAGGTGCCTGTGCTGCTGAGCTATCTCCCTGACCCAATAAGTACTGGTTATTTAAAATGCTGGTTATTTTAAAAGGGAAAAGAAAATAAAAGTTCTTCACCTTGTGGGATTTGTATCCCAAATTAAGTATAGTTTAACTGAACATGAATAATAAGTTTTAGAAACTCACATTGAAAATTTTAATCCTTGCTTATGCTTATTATATTGCCTTCTAAAGCATTTCCTAAACAGTGGAAAATAAATCACGTTGAAAATGTTACCAACTATGTGAACTTGGAAGGTCAGCAAATATAAACACATCTAAAATGGACTGACTACACCTTTAAAAGATAGTCCCTGCTGTTTGCGTTTTACATTTCTCTGCTTATAAGGAAGAGTTAATAGAATCTGAAGCAATATCAACAATCTAACCTACAAATTGCAGGCTTTGGTAGTCAGTGAACCACTCCTGTAGTAGCGCCTTGGGCTTGTTGGAGCAGTTAGTGGGTGGGGTAACTGGGTGTGTGCTGCCCGTTTGCTGAACTGGCACCCTGTCGTTGTAGCTCGCTCTGAACAGCGTAGGAGTGTCGCTGTGTTTTGCACACCCTAGTTCTGGTTTAGTGTAAGATCCCATAATCCTAAGATCCATATTGTTTGTTGAACTTGATACTGAGACACCCAACATCCGTTGCTATAAAGCTTGATTTGTGTTTTATCTTAACTGTAAGAACAAACTTTCCTTATCCTATGTTGTACATTTCACTTTTCCTCTCCGTAGGATATGTATGATATATTTTAATTGTTCTGCCTAAACATAAATTTCTGTAATTTCTTAAGATAGGTAGAAAAATACATCTACTGCCAAACTTAAAGCTTTAAAGTCAGGACAGTGGTAATCCCTCTCTTGTGTACTCCATTGAGCCAGCAGAGTAGGCAGTTTTCCAAAAAGCACTAGTAACAATTTGTAGAAGACTTGGCCTGAGCGTCTTGCTTGCTTAAGGTGTCCATACTGTTTCTGTTTCTCAGTCTGAGACTTTTCTGAGGCTGTGATTTCTCCCTTCCCTCCCTGGCAGGTACTATGATGCTACAACTTCTGGAAAAAGTGATTGAATTGGAAAATTGGACAGGAGGGAAAGGTGTCATTGTCCGTGGAGCCCAAAACACATTCTCTTCAGGGTCTGATCTGAATGCCGTGAAAGCACTAGCAACTTCAGAGGTGAATGTGCTGTGGGTGGTGCTGCGTTAGGCCACGCGCGTTGACGAGACGTCTGTGGCTGCGCTTCTTCACCTGCACCTTCTTAGCTCTGCTCTGACTCTAACAGCCCCCAGAGGATCAGGTCTTTGGTTTTTGGTAGAATTATAAACAACTCTAAGGGGAATGATGTAATGATTCTCTCGGTCTTTGAAATAGATTGTCCACAAGGAGCGCTGCGGTGAGCATGGGAATGATTCACCTCAGGCTTAGCAGTGCGCTCAGCTGTGTAGGTGCCTTTGTAGAGTGGGTCTCTCTCTCTCTCTCTCTCTCTCTCTCTTTCTCTCTCTCTCTCTCTCTCTGCCTCTCTGTGTCTCTGTGTCTCTCTCTCTCTCTGTTGAACCTGTTCCCCACAGCACCCCACTTTGTTTCTTTTCAATTAATTCTTTTCTGAAATAAATATTTAAAGTTCAGAATAGCATTAGATTTACAGGAAGCTTAGCATAGAGCCCTGTATACCCCACAGCCAGTTTCACAGGACGTTCTCCTGTGTGTCATGGTCCTGCATTAGCCATGTCACAGGTGATGAACTGGCAGTGACACTTACTGTCACTTTGCTACTAGACAAGGAAGCAAGGGGAAGCATTCTTCTGTGCCCTTGGCGTTCCGGAGTGTGATGTGTTCTGGATAATTAGATCTCTGACTTCATATCCTACATGTAGACAATTTTAATTGTGGATGCTAAGGAAATTCCTGTTTATTTAAGCATACTTATTAATTGGTCATCACTGCATTTTGATATGCATGATCACATCTGAGAATAAGAAAGGACAACAGAATCATGGCATTACTGTACTAAAATCCGTAGGACTGTGTGTAGAGGGTGTATTTGTCACAAGGTGATGTCCAGATTAACAAGATCTAGCAGTGTATGTAGAGTGCTTGGCAGCCGCTGTCCACGTGGCCTGTAGCCTCACAGGCCTGACAGCAGTAAGCGTGTGTACGTGTGGGTGGCCTTGGCGTCGGGAGGCTCAGGTCCCCACCCGAGCTGGCCTCACGGTCACCTGCTCCACGGCCCCGCGCGGACATCTCGCTGTAGCTGTCCTCTTGGTGAGGCGCCCCTTTACCCAGCACGTGGACTCAGTCGTTACACAGGCTTTGCTGGCATCTGCTTGTTGGGGAAATGCGCTTTTTGTGAGAAGGCTGCAGTTGCTGGACTGTGTGATGATTTTAGCAATTGGATTCCATTCCCCTCTAACTACGGCGGAATGCTTGAGAATGATTATCACAGGATGTAAAAAAATTATGCCAATATTTTTGCCACTGTAATTTTTCAAATATTTTAAAATGTTCAGTAATGGTAATTACCAAAAATGAACAACATGGGGCCTAGTACAGTGAAGCCCTCCTGTGCCTGTAGAGGCATCTGCAGTTCTCCACGTCCTGTTGTGTTTCTTTAGCTTTCACTCCAGCTTTGTTTCTTTGTAAGTGACCTCATAAGCATTGGGTTTCTTTTTGGCATTTTTAGTCCTAGTGAGCAAGGACAGAACTTCCCCTGTTCCCGGGACAGAGTTCTTGGTTGATCAGCAGAGGCCAGGAAGCGACTAGCAAAGCACATGATGCATCCTGAAAATTTACGGGGAGCAACAAGGAGTGCAATTTTTAAAATGTAAAGATCAGTTCAACTATAAGATTTAGATCTGATGTCACAATGTTGTATATTCTTGGTCTCTTTTTAGAGGGAGGAAGCGGAGTTCAGTTACAGAGAATCGAAAATCTGCTTCTTTTCAGCAGGTGGGCCTGAGGCCTCTAAAAATATAGCAGGTTAGAAACCTTCATGGTCCTAATGTAACTTCAGGATAAAACCTTCTCTGTCCCTTCTTACATCCTTCATTACTGTGGGCACTTTTGGTTCTTTTTTTTCTTCCTTTTTTTCTTTCTTTTTTCCTCTGTTTTTTGAGACAGAGTCTTACTATGTAGTTTAGGCTGTCCCAGAACTTACTATGTAGTCCAGACTGGCCTTGAACTCACACCAATCCTCCTTTCTCAGCCTCCCAGGTACTGCGATTACAGCACTACACCTGCCTTATAATTGTATCTTTCTAACTATCCTTACATTTAAATTTAGATCCACAGATATTTTTATTCCTCCTTCTTACGGCCGCGATGCATCCAGTAGGTTGATGTCACGTGACACTGCCCTCACACTGTGTTTGGGGCTTGCCCTGGGTGCCTGCTCTTCTCTAGACTGGAGTGGCTGGCTCACACAGTACCCTGGGAGCTTCGCACAGGGTGGGTCTCCAGCTTGCTGCTCCCAAGGAAGGATCATAGTAAGGGGACGAGACTCGGGTGGGACTGCTGAGAGAGAAGGCATTAGGGGATCCACCAAGTAAGAGGCCAAGGATGAAAACTGGAAATGCAAAATTAAAAAATAAGAGAATCAGAGGTTTAAAGTATTGTTAAAAACCAAGATAGAGGGTCAGAATGAAGAAATTGGTCAAAGAAAGCCACTCCTGATTAGAGAGATAGAGAACAAGATGGAGAAAAAGAAGAAATCATTTAATTTGAACAATTACAGAATATTAGAAATTTTGAGCAAAACCTTTTTGAAGAAGGCTGCAGACAAGATTTATTTCATGTATTTGCTTTATATATTTATGTTTATGCTTATTTTTATTTAAAGGATGGAATGGCTTTATGTATGTTCATGCAGAACACCTTAACAAGATTTACAAGGTAATGTGTCTTTTTTAAAAAAATACATGATTTCTAAAAGACCCAAAATAGTTCTTCTATATCACTTTATTATTTGGACTAGCTAAAAAACACTAGCTATTTATATTGTGTATATTCTAATGGTGAACTGTTTCATTTAATTGACTTTAATGAAGTATACGTAAGTATTTGTAAACAAGAGGAGAGACAGAGGAGAAGAACTGCTCTAGGAGCTTGTGCGACTCTCCAGGAGCAGTGGAGTTGGTCACGTCCTTACGTTGTGCACTGGAGCAGGATAAGAGGCTGATGGGGAGGTGATGGATGAAGACGATTCCTCGTGGGAATTCGCAGACCGTGGGTGCGTGCACGGTGTCCAGAGGAGGCAGGACAGCAGCTGTGGATTGGAGCAGCTCTCCCAGCAGCCTTAGAGGGATGGATTTGCTTTGCATTTTGATAAGAAGGGGAGAATATTTTTTCCTTGCCTTTCCTGGGTTAAAAACTGCAACATCAACAGACCCAGAGCGCAGGCCCAGCGAGTGAGTGAGACTACCGGGGCCCTCCGGATCCTGAATAGACCCAGAGCGCAGGCCCGGTGAGTGAGTGAGACGACCTAGACTGCGGGATCCTGAACAGACCCAGAGCGCAGGCCCAGCGAGTAAGTGAGACAACCTGGGTCCGGGGATCCTCATTCAACCCGGGCTGCAGGCCCAGCATGGAACCCTTCAGCAGAACTCCCTGCAAAGAGGCTAGAGGCAAGACCCACCCAGCTGATTCAGGAGTAGAACATCTTGCCAGAGTGACACAAAGGGTTCAACTCTAACACCTGCAGCAGAAAGAAGTGGAGCACAGCAGCCAGATCCAAACAACACCCACCTGGAGGAATCCGAACTTCATAGATCCGGACCTGGTGCTAAGGTAATAACTCTTATCTAAGCTCTACACCAAAGGACAGAAGACAGTGGTATACAAAATGACAAAGAGAAGGAACAAAATGCAGTCTCAGACCCTGAGTCCACCCAGTACAAATGCAGAAGACACTAGCGCTGAGGAAACTGGAAATCACACACCAGGTATCTCAGAAATAATAGC